AACCTGGACCAGGTTATGGGCTTCTGGACAGAGATAGCCTCCCACGCAGACGTTCTTAGGGGGTTCGTCACGCGTTCCTGCCCCACGAACGTCTGCTGAACTGAAAGATAAATTCCTTTCCCATTGTAGCCTGCGTAGCTGGCGGTATTGTGTGGGTGCGAGATTAAAGTTTTGGCGGCGGAGCCGTGTTCCAAAAAAAGGGAGTAGGGACGAGGCGGTTGAAATACCGCCTCCCAGAAAACCCCGGTATTTTGAATAGTCCGCACACCAGTGTGCGGGGAAACGGATTGGTCGAGGGCGATACATATGTCAATCAGTTAGATGATCCTTCGCATATATTTCCCAATTAAGGGAGCAGATGGCAAACTGGAAAACGTAAGTGATTGTGGTTTCCCCTTTAAAACAGCATAATTGATGACCAAATAGCCGAAATGGCGTCTTTAAACTTCACAGCGCTGGAATTGTCTTTATTTAGCCGTAAGAAACAAAGGTCAAAGAAAATTAGAACAACTGTATCTGAGATCAAATCCTATCAGGAACACCTACAGAAGAATAAACCACAGGAAATGGTTACTCAGTATGCATGTAACAAACCAGCTTCATGTCCTTTTAATGTTAAGCCTAGTGTAGCAAAAAAAGATTTACTCAGTCAAACTTTAGAATGATACATGCACTGTGTAATGCTAGTAACCTTCGCGCGAGAGCTGAGAAAATAAAAGAACCTCGGTTCAACCAAACTCACAAGGTCACGTTTCACATTATCACGACCTTAGGAGTCGTGTTTAGCCTGTCAACGCTTATTTCTAAACTGTCTCGCGTGAAAATAATCGGAAGTTTCAAATTGCTGATTTAATTGGGATCAGCTAAGGTGACAAAAGTGGGCGGCATTCGAAAAATCATGGTTCTCTGGCAGGCGGTATTTCTCGCGGCTTCGCCGCTCGTGACGGCTCCGCTATCAAATCTCACTCGAATACGGTATATTACAACGGCTCCGCCGCCAAATCTCACTCGACTACTACACTATACCGCCAGCTAGGCAGGCTATTCCCATTGCTCGCAGACATCGGCTGGAGATCACATGCAGATTATCGGAGATCCAGTCGGCGCTGTTGAAGTCAAAGTGTTGATCATGACAAGCCAAACACATACGTACGTACATTAAAGCTCTGTAGAGTGTGATACGTGACCAAAGATTTTTGCTCCTGACGAGAATATAGGAAATAAGCGTTGGCTTTTTGCGTATTTCTCTCTGTAAAGGCAGGAGTAGATGTTATTTGCTCATAAAGTTGTTCTTTGGGTGATGCAAGGGGGGGATTACCTTGTAAGACTTATCAAAAGGCAGAATTTTTTTTTTCACACGTTATTGTTTTGCAATAAAACCGACTTCCGTTCAGCAAATCTTGCCTCCGGGCAATTTTTTTTCAACGATATTCTGAGGGTAGCCATTAGTACGAACGCTTGTGAGTTAACTGAGTAGTTTGTTCTAAAACTGTAAGGTCCCTTCACCTTTCATGAGACCTTTCTGATCTTTTCTGGAGCTATAAAGCCAAGAGCGAAATTTCTCAAGGTCCAAAGTGCATTTCCCAGATCTGGAACTCTGCTGTGATTGGTCTACGTTTTTTTTCCGCTCAAGTCAGCAGACGTTCGTGGGGCAGGAACGCGTGACGAACCCCTAAGAACGTCTGCATGGGGGCTAGGACAGAGTGGGAATCTTAGGGCGTTGGCCGGGATACTGTGAATTTCACTAAGTTATTTTTAGAGGTTGTTATTATGCGGAAGGGCTTTTGTTAGGGTTTGCACGCGATCCACCCATATCTGATTTCGCCTGGTTTTTGCGGCTATTTAAGCGGTAAATAATTTACGTTCGTTTGAGCGAAGCGAATTAGTACGTAACTGTGAATTTCACTAAGTTATTTTTAGAGGTTGTAATTAAGCGGAAGTCTAATTTCTGGGACGTCTGCTCATTTAAATCTATTGTTAGAAACGTTATTAATTTCTGAACAGATGCCCCAAAATTCTTTAAAAGTTGCTCGAAGTTTGCTCGACTTTTCTAAAAAGTTGCTCAAAAGTTGCTCCTTTAGTAAAATAAAAAATCACAGCCATAGTGAAATACAATAAGGAAACTAACAGTGGGTGACGTTTTCATGTACAGCAACTGTGTAATGAAATATTTTTTTCCTACAGAATCAGATCACTATACCTTTTTATACAGAGGCAAACTGAATATTTTTTAATTTCTTCATGTTCACGTTATTAAACAATGTCTTTCTCTTGTTATTCTAATGTATATTTACCGTTTCGCGGGAGCAGACTCTAAATCAACCAGTGTCATGTGTTTAAACAGAGCATTGTCCTACAAAACCTTTTTCAGATCAAGATCTTTTTTCTCATTGGTTTTCATTGTGCAATTGCATTTTCCTCTTTGGTAGGGTCATTTTGATTCGAAGCAGAGAAGTTTGAATTCCCGGCTGAACTAAATATTTCGATGTTTTCCGCCATT